GGGGGGGGGGGGCTTGAGATGTTTTAAACTCACCCTCACACACCCTCATCTCTTGGGGAGCAGACTGAGGCGAGCCTGGGGCCGCATTTCAAATTTAAAGGCCTTGGATTATCACTCTGGGAGTCTTTGTGTGACCTTGTTGGAACCCGGGGCTCATTCTGACACATACACAGTCCTACAAGCTTCCCTATTTGTTCGAGTGTCCTTCAGCAGGTTTATTCTCGGATGAAATGCAAGAGCATGGAAGCCCCGTTGGGCCAGAGAGAGCGTTTGATCTCCACCAATTTCGCCTGCTGCTGCTGCTGCTGCTGCTGCTGCTGCTGTTCTCTGGTGGTTTAATTAGAAAAAAAGTGGGGGGAAAAAATAACACCCGGACGTATCAACACTCCAGACCACAGAGAGAGAGAGAGAGAGAGAGCAGGATGGGATGAGAGTGCAGTGGAAATGGAAAAAGGAGTACAGAGAGAGAAAGTGAGATGGGGAGACCAAAGGAGGGCTTGGAAAGCAATACAAAAAAAGTGGAACAACATCAAAAACCTGTCAGTGGATGAGCGAATAAGGCAACATCAAAAATCGACTAATAAAGCATGATGTCTCCACGTATCAACCGGCTCTTTCTAATCTCCTCCCATCCCCTCATCCTTCTCTTTTTTTTCTTCAGTTTACCCCTCATATTCCCCCTCGTTCCTAATTAGTACAGAAGGAATAAGCCACATCTGTGTTTGCATGTATATGAGTGGCAGTCCTCTAGGGCTTCCTGGGAAAGGAGAGATAGGAGGTATAACTCACTGCAGCCACTGTTTAGGGGTCTTACACACACTCAGCTGCACATACATTTACACACAAGGGTATTGATCACATTGTCTGATCCTCCAGGGATGTCACCGTGCCAAGCAGCTGAGACTGAACTCCGACAGAGTGTATTATATCCACGCAGCTGCATTATGTCATGTTGTGTTGCCAAAGAGAAGCTGGCAACAAGGGAGGAACCAAGTCAAACTACAGCTGATTGCAATTAAAAGTGATATACTGTATATGTTTGTTTCAATTTGCTCTTCATGCCATCACTGTCAATTTGTCTCTGAGACTGTGATTGTGTATGTGTGTGTGTCCAGGCGGCGTGTATCCCAGTGCTGCTGAGTAACGGTTGGGAGCTGCCGTTCTCTGATGTCATACAGTGGAACCAGGCAGTCATTGAAGGAGATGAGAGATTATTACTACAGGTAACACACACACACACACACACACACACACACACACACACACACACACACACAGAGACGTTTGCTCACTTTCATTTACAGATGCAGACAAACACAGACACACAACTAGAAAAGGCTGGAGGGTCTTCCTCTCACATCCCAAACTAAGAACAGTTTCAAATCTTTCAATTGTCCCTCCCTGATCGATTAAAGTCAAAATAGCGGTGAAAATAACAACATTGGGGATTTTCTCTTCGCCTCGGTATGTGCCTAATTTAAGTGGATTATAAAATTTGGGATTTGGTAGTAAGTCATCAATGGTGCCCCTTGGTAACTAGGTTAGGCTTGTTTTTTTTAAGTTGCAATGAACGCAAACACGACGGCCTTGAGTATACAGTCAGAAATGTGCACAAAGATATCAGGCAGGTCCAGTAGTATGTGATATCAGCTACAGACAGACAGACAGGTACACAAGCACACATACACACACACACACACACACACACACACACACACACACACACACACACACACACACACACACACACACACACACACACACACACACACACACACACACACACACACACACACACACCAATGTAATAATCAAATGCGGAATGAGAGATTACATTGAGGAACAGATTCTAGTTGGTTTAGCCCAGACGAGGCTTCATCACTGCGGCTCTCTGTTACCTGTATCAAGGAGAGTGGTTGCAGGTTGGGGCCCCTTGACATTACACACCCACAGAGACCTTAATCCAGAGTCAGTTCAAACGCTCTCGCTTGCTCATCCTGTGTATGTCTCTTCTCACACATTCACAAACACAATGGGAAAGGAAAGCCGGCTCACCCTCAGCTACAACCTTTATCTCTCTCCCTCACACAAAGCACACCATGTCTGCTCTGCATTGATCTCGCCCAGTAGAGGACACAAATTGGCATTCAGCTAATGAACACGAACCAGACCCGAGAGCTCGGAGCAGGGGAGACATTTACGAATCAGGACAGAAATGGACTGAAGCCGAACTCATCAGTGACATTTCTGCACACCTGCCTGCAAAACTATATAATATGCACACAAATATTCTGCCTGTCTATGATCTGAGGGTAAGGAGCGTCAGGTTTTTTGTAGAAGAGGCAGATTGAGGGTAGACACTTCAGACAAACTCTAGTGAAGCTGTCCTTCAGATGTACTTTGGCAAAAAAGTAGAAGGATAGGGAGAAAGTGGGAGCAAGGTTAAGTAATGAAGTCTGGAGAAAGGGAGGTTTGCGAAGAGAAAATGTGAGGTTTAAAGAACAAAGACAAGAATGTGTGAATAAGAGAGAAAAAAGAGATTTAGCGGCCTCCCGGCTTTTTTAACTGGCGCTCATTAGGAAATGTGTTAGCTGTGTGGAGACAAAAGGGTTTAAAGAAGGCAAGAGCTCCCACTTTTCTCAGTTCAACGTGGCTTTTTTGCACTTTGATTGAGCCGCCGAGCTAAACTCTCTAAGTGATTTAATCAATTTTGGGGATTCACTTGAAAATGAATGTCGTCTTTACTAATTAGAGTCTGATTATCTGAACAACAAACCCAAATAAACTCTGATTAAAATGTGTTTTTAGGGGGCCGGATTAACCAACTACTCAATTTAGTTAACGCAGTTTTGATCACTTAAATGCTATTTCCTCCTTTTTCTTTTTTCTGTTCTATTTGAACACAACTTGCTTCAAAAACCAAGTTCAATTATTCCCTGTTCTTCCTTTTCATTTAGTTTTCTCACTGTCTGGATGTTTTACTCTTCTCATCTTTTGTCTTCAGGTGCCATCCACAGTGAGAGCCGTAGGGAATGAGAGGGTCTTGGCCCTCAGACAGAGGACCCAGATGCTATGGGAAGCCTACTTTTCCTCTGTGGACAAGATAGTCCTCACCACACTGGAGGTAAGCCTCAGCCTTAACACTCAGTAATAATGGCCCCATGTGATAGAAATATTTTTCTATGGCTACAGAAACTAACTGACACAGGGAAAACTGCAAGGACTAGTAAACGGTAGCTGGTGATCTAACTTCTGACACGCTTAAGCAAACGGGAAAATGTAAGCGCTATATTTACTGTACCAGTATTTTTTTGGATTGTATATTTGGTACTCATTGGAGATTGGAAAAAAGCCATCAATCTGGCTGTAGGTTACCAAAAAATAACAATCGTCATCTAACCGACAGCACAATAAGATATGAACTGACATTTTTGAAAAAATCTTCACGTCAGGTCTCCATTTATAATCTCAAGTTTGAGATATTCTACATTTCTGACAGAAACAATTTTGCCCACTTAACTTTAATGAGTTCACACATTTATGGTGAACTGTCACTATTGCTCTGTTTTAAAATTTAAATTGGGTTTATCGCAAAGGTAGTTTTTCAAATTCCAGAAATTAGCTTTTTTTTCTAAACTGTTAATACATCAACACAGTAAGAGGAATTAAAATGCAGAATAAGCATAAATATAAAACGTTGAATTGTTGATAATACAAGCATGTTGAGTTAATGTTGCATTGCAATGTAGCGGTTTTAAATGCTACAGTAGTCTTAAAGTCAGAACAACTCTAAACGATCATATAAATAACCTTAGCTTTTTGGCCTCCTCAGGACCTCTTGCTCCCACAAATGCATTTAGATAATGTTGTTTTTGGCTGGTGAGCATTGCCTAGAAACCAAATGTTTAAACGCTGAGAGTTTCTGCTACCATACAATTCTGTTTGGGAATGTGAGAAGACATCCAGTGAAAACATCTACAAATGCAGCCACTGCAGTAAACACAGGTTTCCTGTTGAACAAACAGCCATAGTTGCTACCTTTCTGTGGTTTACTGCCTGTGTGCTATCATCAGTCCTCTCAGAAAATCTTTTCACATTTGAATCAAACCAACCTTCTATCATTATGATTACGGGGTTGGACCTTGGCCTGTGCTCCATATTCTTACCCTTTTACTATCTGTGTGGCACTAAAGGTTTGAGGGAGCATTTCAAAGCAGCCCACATCCGATCTGCCTGAAGTCTCAGAGAAAGTCCCCCGATGTAAAGAAATTATATATCATTACTTTGCAAATATCAGTCTCAACCTGCCAGTTTCTGCCTCACTGCTTGCTATTATCAAACTAGAATCAGAAAGCTACTTGGGATATTTTCTGTGATCTTCGCAGTTCTACTTCTCCAAATGTTGTTTTGGATATTTGAATACGCCAAGTATAAAGTGTACTTCAAAGGTAGTTGTTCCACTAAGTTCATGTCATTTGAAGGTTAGCCTAAGGGTTGGATGATGAAACGGAAAAAAACACCTCCTCTAATAAACAGCTTTTCTGCACACTGCCAATGAGAATTTTAAGCAAATAAAAAAATGGTGGAACAACAGATTTAACCCCTCTGAAATCTGAAGAAATCACACAGTGAGTGGTAGGATTTGCACTGGGTTGTGTATAAAGGCGAGTCTGGCAGCCTCCTAGTGTATTTGCTTCTGGGGATTTATGCTAGAGATAATAAAGGAGAGGTTCTGGAGGTTGGTGATAAGCTGCTTATATACATACAGCATGCAGAGGGGAACCTCTCCCCATGGGAGACAGCTGTGCAGTCAGCCTGAGGTCAGCGAGGCAGAGGCTGTTGCAGTGTGGACACCTCCTGTTGGTGTAGCATAGGAAGTACACAGTGTATACATTTGGGTTGCTATAATTTGCAAACACAAGTGTGTCAGGTCTCAAATTGCAGTGGAGTTTACATTAAGCGCTAAGACTCTCATCAACCAGCTTGGAGGGAGAAAAAATGTGTTGCAGGATTATACCAGATGAGCACAACAGCCACTTTAACAACGCTAAGGAAACTCTCTGCTTCTCACATTGCAACCCTTCTGGAACATTGTCCTTTTTTCCCTTCCACAGATTATTAAGGATCGTGTTTTCTCTCACATATCGAGAAACAAGTACATGTGGAACTCCCTGCCAGGAGGCCTGCTGGTCCTGCCAGAGTACTCCACTCACCTTGCACATTTCCCTTTCTACTACCTGGGATTAGGTAAACACACTCTTCATTTAAATCAGTGTGCACAACATGCACATCTTGATTGCACATCGAGGATGTTGGTGAGACTATTATGTCAGAGCTATTGAGGTGTGAGTGGAGCAATCAATTGTATTTACTGAAGTACTTTTATGTAGTTGGAATTTTCTTTAAACATGCTAAAATATATGTTAAGAATATAGGGTATGATTATTTCAATTTATTTAAGCAGTAATTTTTTTATGTTTTTAAAGAAACTTATAAAGCAATGGGTGTGCCAAACACTCTCTTACCCTTTGTATTTTTTCTGTGACCTTACACAGGGGTCAGTCCAGGTCAAGAGTTTACTGCTGTCATCAATGCCGTGTCCCCATTGGTCTCCCAATCTCAGCCAATCATGAAGCTGCTTCAAGTTGTCTCCAAGTCCAAATACTGCTCGCAGGTACACAATATAATTAAATGAATAAGCAAGAAAAAAGTAAAAGACAAATACTTGTGAGAACCGTACCAGGTGATTTATTTCTCAATATATAGTTGTCTATATCCCTGGAATTATTATATGTGAATAAACTACATGAAACTATAATTTGTTAGTTTTAGATTATTTTTTAGGACACATATATATTTTTTTATCTGACGTGATAAGGATACAGTAAAAACTTGAACAGAAGCTAGAGCCATCCCTCGCATTTATAATTGTATGAAATAAACATATGTCAAATGTCAGTTGAATGAATTGTAGAAAAGATGTCCACTATGGCAAGAAAATGGGAATCACTAATCTTATATCTCTTTCCCTATACAGTATGAGTAATATTAATTTACTTCCTCCTGCTCCAGATCATCATCCTGTGGAACAGCGAGAAGCCCCCTCCCGGTCGCAGCAAATGGCCTCCGATGCCCGTCCCCCTCACTGTGACAGACGGCAGAAGGAAGGTGAGAGCCAAAGCCCCCTCACAGCTCACACTGAAGCCCGCCCTGACGTCTGAGTGAAGGCATGACAAACTGTCGGCTGCTCAGTCGCCCTTTGTCTTTCTTTCTGTTACCCCATTTTCTGCCCCCCCCTCATTGATGTCTATTTTTCTCTGTCTTTCTTCCTATCCATGTATATCTGACATGTCCACTGATCCGTGTAGCATTCGGTTTCATAAATGTCACTCATCCTCAATATTTCTTCTCCGTCTCACTTTCGCTGTCTGTCTCCTTTGTTTTTCCCAAAGGCAGAATCTGTAGTGATTCAATCATCTCAGTCACTCTACATGATTAACTATTTCATGATCATCTCTCTCTCACTCTCATAATCTCCCTAAGCAAAGACCAGACACCATAAAGCCCACTGTACCAGAACTAAATTCACTGCTGTATGTCTCTCTCAGACCACCAGTCGGTTCCTACCTCATGTTGCCATAGAGACGGAAGCAGTGCTGAGTCTGGACGAGGATACAGTCCTGCTGACCAGTGAGGTGCGTGTACAAACCAGCAGAACTGAACACATGTAGATGTCAATATTCCTGAAAAATAAGCAGCAATATGGGTAAATTCCATGTCTTTCCTTGTAGGTGAACTTTGCCTTCTTGGTATGGCGGAGCTTCCCTGAACGCATTGTGGGCTACCCTCCCAGGAGCCACTTCTGGGACCCCCTGAAGCGTGCCTGGGGCTACACCTCGAAATGGACCAATGACTACTCCATCGTCCTGACTGGAGCTGCCTTCTACCACAGGTACACCAACATACTGAATAAATAGAAAGTACCATTTGGAGCCTGTTTTTATTTTCATGTTCTCCCTATAGAAAGGATTCAAATAGTATATTTGAAGTAGGCTTGTATGAGGTATTTTTCTAGAGGCTACCTCTGCCTCGGTTAGTTAGTTGTGTTATTTCAGATTCACCTAGTTCACACAATAACAACAATAACAACATAAAAACAATGTAACCCATCGAGGCAGTGGTTGATGAGCAGCTGCCTTGTAACTTAAGGTGAAATTACAGTTTCTTTCCAGAGAATGGCATTGAAGAGATTGTAGATAACCACTTCAGTTCCCCTTTGAAAAAAGGCTGTCTGACGTAAAGGTATAAAGCTAAGTGTTGCTTCGAGCTATATGCTAGGGTCATGCTAATCCAGGTAACAATTTGAAATACAAGTCAGGAGAATCCACAGTAATTAGGATGCATCTATAACGATCCATTTGACAGTAGTTGAGACATTTCAGTCCAGAGAAAAGTGGTGGACTGACCGAACGTACTCATATTTGTCACATTGCCAGCATTTAAGACTGCATATGGTTTGTTTTTGAATATTTTTCATCAGATATTTAACTCATTAACTTCTAACAAGTTTAATATATTCTTCCCGGGCGCCGTACATAATGGCAGCCCACTGCTCCTAACACTAGGATGGGTCAAATGCAGAATGTACATTTCCCCTTTGTGGGACGATTAAGGGTATATAAAATTAGAAATTAAAAAATATGCACGCACCTTCATTTAGACATGCAGACTTGTAACCCAGATCAAAAGAAGATTACCTGTCAGATATCAACGACTTAAAACAAGGGACACCTTTATGAATTGCAACAGCAACGATCATAATCACATAAGTCTAGACACGAAAATCAAAAAGGGAAAATCAAACAGAAGGGAGTAATTATGTGTATGGGTCAGCGTGAGAGAAAAAGGAGGGAGGATGTTTGACTCATCTTTACTTCAAGATGCTTGATTCATTTGAGAAGACCGAAGTCGATATGTGCGATGGCAGAGCGATGCAGTAAGCTCTTACATATTATGAATGATTATGAATGTAATAACTCCACAGGCAGGGCACTTTAACAGCTGTTGAAACCATGACACGTTTTCACAAAGTGGTCATTTTTGTCAGCAGTTTTATGAAAACACACTTTTGTCATTTTAATTTGAATCCATAAAGCAACTGACATTTGCAAGGCACATTTGCATTACCACAAATGCCTGTTTCATCATTTATCAGATAAATGAAAATGAGAAGTCAGTCAAATCCTGGCTTGTTCATTCTGAAAATGCTCAATTTAGTATTTTTTGTCAATTTAGGCAAATGTTTTAATCGCTTATTGTATTGTTAAAGGGAAGGCACCAAATGGCTTTTCTCAGTAGGCCTACACAATACATTTGACAAAATAACATAGTAAATAATTTCCCTGCAACAAATGTCATTAAGTTATACATTGTTATTTTTACTCCCTTTGCAAAATTAAAACTAATTTAAAAAAGAACAATAACAGGTACTACATCACACAAATGTAATGCAAAAATACCAGATACAATCTCCAGTATTGTAAATTAAAGGAATGTAGAACATATGCATTGAACCACAGTTTGTTGGGCTCTATATAAATATCAAATCCCACTTGCAGGGAAATGGTTAACTTGTCCCAGATACATATCATCAACATACATCACACCATCTTCAAATTTCTGTCAAGCTACCATGCCTATTAGCATACAGGTGCTGCGTGCCCGGCCCCCACCTGAGATAGAACACATTGCAGAGATCTCTTTTTGTCTCTATGATACATACTTATTGTAGGTGCTTATCTGAGGTGTTGTCTAAAGGGATTTGCTGTGCAAGTGCAAGTAGCTAGAATTGTGAATACAGACTAATAATAGTGAGACAGAACTGGCAACAGATGTGACAAAATATTCCTGCAAGATGAATAATAGATCAAGGTGTAAAGGAGGTCCTTCGTTAGAAAAATACATTTTTAAATCCTACTTTAAAATCCTGTAGATATTTCTTTTAAATGGGTACCAAGAAGTAGAAATCATGGACAATGAGTTAATTAAATCAACAGTATCTATGAAAAACGTGATCCAGCAGTGTCTTTCTGATTGAAAAAGCTGGTTCATCTTTATGTTGACAAGTCTTTGATGTCATTCCAGACCTTTTATTTTATCAGTACTTATAGTATTGTATCAGTTTGTGTTATCCTCTTGTCGTCAAACAGAGAGTCTGCAGCTATATCAACAGAAAATTCTGTTCTGCAATACAAACAGTTGTTAAAGAAAGCAGAGAAAACATTTACACTCCTCATTTAGCTAACGTTTTTGAAAGTGTTTAAGCGCATGTACTTTTTTTACCACGCAATTTCTATGTTGTATTCATACAATGAAATAGTCTGTTTGTGTTTCCAAATTGTGTTTTTGTGGACAAAGCGCCTTTGGGAATGTAATCTGTGATGTCCGCGTAGTTATTGAAAGACATAAGTTTTTTATCCTCACTACAAATGTCCTATCCACATTTTGATAAAATGACACCTATGCCTGTATAACACTCCCCCTGCCCCACAGGTACTACCACTACCTGTTCACACACTACCTGCCCCAGTCTCTGCGCACTCTGGTGGACCGCACCTCCAACTGTGAGGACATCCTGATGAACTTCCTGGTCTCCGCGGTAACCCACCTGCCGCCAATCAAAGTGGCCCAAAGGAAGCAGTACAAAGAGTTGCCCAGCCCACAGGTTGGTAGCCATTTGTCTTCCTGAGGTGCGTTTATTGCTGTTGACTCTAATGTCAGGTGATGATAAATGTGTCTCGTCCTACCTCTCAGGGCACAAAAACCGTCCCCTGGGCCAACCCGGAGCACTTCAACCAGCGGCAGGAGTGTATCAACACCTTCGCCAACTGGTTTGGCTACATGCCTCTGGTCCACTCTCAGTTTCGCCTGGACCCCGTGCTTTTCAAAGATCAAGTGTCTGTCTTCCGCAAGAAGTACAAAGACCTGGAGAGGGCATGAACATGAAGGATAGAATCGAGAGAAGGGCAGGAAAGCATCGAGGTCTGGTCTAGTAGCCTTTTGGACAGACAGATGGACCTATCAGAGGCGATCAGAGGTTGGAGTGGGTGGGATTTTGCCCATTTCTGACATGGACAAAGTACAGTCATTCAACAGACCCTGGTGGACTGTTAAACATATGAAGAGAAATGGCCTATAAAAGTTTGATAAGAACTTTAAAGGATTCTCCCAGTGTGGTAGGACAACAAAGGAGGACATGTCTTGGCCATGAACGAGGCCCTGTGATTGGGCCTCCAACCGAGGAACATCCCGATTGGACAGCAGAGAAAGGAAGAGTGTGTGTGCTCTTCAGATGTCAGTGCTATTGCTTTGACAATGGGAAGGAAAAGGCTATTTCATGCCAGAAGGGACTGGTATTGGTGCCATGCACTCCAGCTGTCAGTGTTTGTTTCAGCAATCAGTGAATGGACTGTTGCCATGGAAACAGATCATTTCACATCAAAATGCTAACTGTAAAATCAATAAAGTGATTTATAAATGCAAATTCTGGCATCATGCTGCATACTTTTCAAGCTGTTTCCCGCTAACTTGGCACACCCTTTTTTATTCAAGGAAGACCAAGACACGTTTTTCAGCAGAGATGAAGTATGTAAAACACATATTTAGTGAACAGGCAAAAAAAGACATTAAACTAGTCCTGTATACATTATTGAATAACATATAACCATCCTATTCTTTCAGTCTTGACTAGCACGGCAGCTAACCAATCATTTAATTTTAAATGTGCCACCACACATTACTGAAAGGAAAGCACTCAATAGTCAAGTCTGAGAAGCCGGAACAAGTGAAGTTTTAACAATAAAATAAATAAATCAGTTATCAAAAGTATTTGCCAATTCATTTTCTATCAAATGACTAATCATTTTTATTAAACAACTGTCAAAACCGTTTAAATAATTGTATTTTATTTCCTTAGCAAACATTTGGTTGAAAACCCTGTTTGGACAAATGTAATTGGCTGCAATTTAATCTAAAAAATACAATTACAACAATCAAAAGAACTCCTCAATCACATGCCCCATGCTTTTGTGAATGTTCGTTGTTGCCTTGATGTGATGTCGGAGTGTTAAACTGATGATCTGTTGGTGAGTAACGACAGAAGAATACAAAAGGTCCGGGTCAAAATATGCATCATGTTGTGTTGGTGGATATGCCTTCATACTTATAATATAATCTCAATTGTAAAGCAGATAATGCATTCCCACGCCTGGCCTCAGGGTTGGAATTGAAAACAATGACACAGTGAAACAGTACATGAAAGTATATGTTCAAAAGATTTGTTGAAAAAAAGTTTATTTTATAGAAAACGCAAATTACCCCTTTAGGCCTATCTTCATCCCAGTTTACAAAAATAAATTCACAGGCAAGCAAGTCTGCACAGCCTCAGGGTAAACAGGTGTGTAGCACTCAGGAAGCTAATCTCATTAAGCACATGCACACACACACACACACACTCTCTCACTTATGTACAAAGCACCTGAGATGCATAGCTGCCAAGAGGCTAATTTCAATTCTGAACTCAAAGTGTTTCTACAACTGACGGAGCATAATAAAAGGGGGAAATTGTTCCTTTTGTAAACACAGTCATCAGATCAGCTCCTGAACTCTCATAATCACCTGCGATGCATTCAAGTCCATCTGCTGAACACACTGTGAAGAGGGTGTTCTTACCAGAGGGTGTTCTTACCTGAGACAATACAGGTTTTAAATAGTATGAAAACATTAGTCCATTTGAGTAAACACCATGACAAACAGTACAAACCTAAACCTGGCAGCTGCCTTGTAAAAAAGAGAATGTTGGAGTTGGAGTGCATCAGGTTAACACATTGTATCCTTTTTGCTCTCATGAATCCTATCTAAATCATATTTCCCCTTTAACAGCTTAAATATAATACATTATTAACAGCAGAAGCTCTTGGTCGAACTGTGAGTGTTTTAGTGATGAAGTGCCAACACAAATGTCCTGTATTCCAAATCCAGCTAAATGTTCCCCTTTGCCATTATGCAGTCCATACGTCTACAGAGCAATGCTTCTCCTCATGAGAGAGTGCACGTGTCACTTCCTGAGCGTCAGCATGGCGTTGACGTCCCACAGCAGGTTCCTCATTTGATCCATCAGCACCTTCATCTCCTGGTTCTTCTGACGCACCTTCTGCAGGAAAAGACACATGACGTCCATCAAGCTTTTACCTTACAGTCATCAGAAATATACCCACCATAAAAAAATATATTATATATTATTGAGGCTTCATTTGATTCTTGCTGGAGGACTTTCAGGATTAAAAATATAGTTATTTTAAACGATGTCCTACCATAAAACAAACAATCTAACAAGCCTCAGGCAAGCTTTTCCTATATTTCGCCTATGGCTGCCCGACGGCAATTTCCAAACATACCTGAAATCTTCATCCCAATGGAACTCTAAATCCTCTCTTATGTTTGAACTGGGATTTAAATGTATTCAAGCTGCACACGATGCTTGTCTTCCTGCATTTCACCCACAAGACCAATGAGTAGCATCTGCCTGTGTCTGCACTGCCACCTAGAGGAAGTTGCAGCGGACTCTAAAAGCTATGTTGGTTAAACTCAAATCCTAATGAGAAGTCAACTGATGTCACGAATGTAAAAAAAAGAAAGTATAACAATGTTAGACTTCACTACATCATATTGAATTGATTTAGAAGCTTGTCAGTGTTTGCTTTTAGATGTCCTCTTTATTTTGCTAGACCAAGTCCCACTGAAATATCTGGCAATTCGTGGCACTTTCTCCAAATTTGTAATCACCTTACAGCATGAGTTTTATATAATAGTGCAATATAACGACTAATTGCAACCTGACAGCAGCATAGGGAGGTGTAGCTGTCACACTAGTCCTCTCTCTGCAGTGAATACGTGTGAAGTAACTGCTGGTGATTAATACTTGTGACGAAAACAGAAAACAGGAACACACCTCCAGAACCTCTTTCCTCTCCTGGTTGACAGCAGGACTGCAGGGCTCCACTTTGACAGAAAGAAGCTCCTCTCCAACGTATGGCAGAATCTGAGGCCACAGAGTACATGGAAAACGGTTATTCCCTCCTGAATGCATTGGGTTTTGATGCAGACAGAAAAGAGGTTTGATAAATTGACTATTTTGCAGATGTCTTCACTCTTGCCCTGATGAAAGGATAGCAACATATGTGTTTCAAGATATATTTATCATTTATTTCCGTCAAGAAAAAAGGGAAATACACATCAAACTAATATCCAAGCAGGACTGAATGGTCCCTTCCTGACCTCTGCTGGTCCTTCCTGGAGGTCAGAGGTCATCTCCACACAGCGTTCGTACAGCAGCCGCAGCTTCCTGAAGAGCAGGGCGAGCTGCCTCAGGTGTTCCTGCAGCTTCCCAAAGCGGTCCTGGTACATGGCCTGGCTCTGGGTCACACCGTTAGGAAGCTAAGGAAACACAACACACAGAATCTGTTGTCAGTTTCACTATCATTTACATGTGCAGATATCAAAAATGAGTTGCTTATAATCAGAAGAGTCTGAAGACAGAATACAATTCAAGTTTTTACTCTTGGTTTTCTGAGTGGTTAAAAGCTGAAACTGTAAAACATTGTCAAGAATTCCATCTTTTTTCAATATTTTAACGCCGTATTTGATGTGATAGAATGTATATGGTGTTGTGTCGATTGTGAAATGCTTGACAACTAAATGTTTGAGTCCACGGTCCTTTGCTGTTGGAGTTTCATTAGAGAGAAAAAAGCTTGCTCAGTTTAAATGGACCAGGACAAGCTGGGAGAGGTGAGAGAAACACGGTGAGAGACAATTAGAGACAGAGATGAGGGGAGATGGAAGACTTAGTAAGACAGATGCTGAGGAGCATGCTAAGCAGATACGCCAGGGAAGGGTGATAATGCAGACTGACAGATGAGAAAGGATCCCTGTAAGCAAAACACAACAGCCATAAGGTTAACCTCCAAACACACCATACAGGAAGAGCAGAGTGTAGTTTACTCTGTAGTGAAACGTAAGTTAAATTAGGTAACAGTAAAGTCCTGAATTAAAATGTTATGGCCCGCTCATCAATGTAGATAGAGGTGGACAAAGCCTCTCCAATCCACTATTGATTACTCCATTCTCTCTCACAGGAAAACCTCTCTATTGTTTGACCGTCATATGTGAGCTTTTGCTGCTATTAGAACTTATAAAAAATGCGTCTTGGAATGTTCATGTTTGAATTATTATTCATACAAAATAAGCAACACTTGAACACCCTGAACAACACCATATAGGCTCTTAAATGTGTCTTTATTACACTACATTCATAAAAGGACGTTTTTTCTCAAAAGTAGCCACATGGTTTTACTATAACAGGTGATGCTACTAAATAAGAGACTATGTGCTCTAATGCAAAACCAGTTATTCACACCACAGTTCTCATACATATGGAGTAAAACTAATTCAGATCTTCAGCTCAGTCCATATATCCAGTACCTGCGTTGCTCGTGTGATCTGGAAAATCTCCATGGTGCGAGCGACGATGTCCTGGACAGTCTCCTGTCCGATCCTGCAGAGGAACACCGGGGAGATCTCCCTCAGGGCTCCCTGGGGGGGCACGGGCTGCTGCCCCGCGGCCGAGGCAGCACCGGGGGGGGCCAGGTGGGGCTGCTGCTGGGGGGGCATCCCTGCCATCCCTGGCTTTTGAGGCAATGAGGCTGCCATCACTCAGCAGGTCTGTGGGAAAGGGATGAGAGGGACACTTTAAATGCACAAGAAACAGTAAAGTAAGTACCGAGGATTTACTCAAGTACTGTACTTAAGTAAGAATTTCAGGTAATTGTACTTTGCTGGAGTATTTCAATTTGTTGCTACTTTGTAAAGGTGAATTATGTACTTTTACTCCAGAACATTTAATGAATACCTCAAGTGACTTTGCAGATTTTGATTAATGATGTGAAATATAATCAACTCTTAAATCAGACTTTAGTTACACCTGGAGTAAATTCACAAGCTACCCTGCAGTATACAAAGTCATTCAAACCAGCTTTGATAACACTTTAATGCATCAATAATTATAATGAAAACATGTAATATATATTATTTTGAAATAGGCATATCTGCATAATGACTACTTTTACTTGTGGTACTTTAAGTATATTTTGATGCTAATACTTTTACTTGAATAACTTTTTGTATGCAGCAGGCTTGTACTTGTAACAGAGTATTCCTACACTCTGGTACTTCTACTTTTACAATATCTGAGTACTTTTCTCACCAGTGCAATACATAATGTGATCTTAGTAGTCAGAACCAACTTGATGTCTAGAATGGGACTAACGTACTAAGGTTACTCACAAACGTTAACCCGGGCTAGTTCATTAGAATAACCGGGAGTTTCAAAATATACTTTTGCACAAAGTCCTGACGGTGTAACGTGTCTCTACACTATCCTCACACTGTTATTGATAACAAACACTAACAGGTATATGATTGAACCAC